TCAGTTAAATCCACGAAATCACAAGTAAATTGCAGAGAGAATTTCTGCAATGGACAGAGGCTGTGTGTGTGCGCGTGAGCATGTGAATGGAGAGCTTCAGTGCCAGCGATTGTTGTGCTGAAATAATGAAGGCGAAGGCATGGGGGGCATCTAAACCTTTGCAAAGTGATAGCGCGTAACCTTGATGTTACCGTCACTGTGTCTGTAAACCTGATTTCGAGGAGTTATAACATGTTGCTATCAAAACAGCAAAACATGGATAATTTACTTATACACAGACTAATAATTAATTATTTTGCCATCGAGAAAGCAATTTAATTCGAGCATTCATCACTTCTGACCTCAAAACTAGTCAACAGTCTTCAGCCGCTGGAACATGCAAGTCATGGCGCTCGAGCAACAGCCTGGGTGCCAGACGGCCGCCGCTCGAGTCTGCGCGCGGGCCCGCCGGCGCCCTTGGTTGGCGGGGAGTTCTGTGCGTCTGCTATACATACATACATACATACATGCACACACACACACACACACACACACACACACACACACACACACACACACACACACACACACACACACACACACACACACACACACACACACACATATACACACACACACACATATACGTCTGTGTGTGTGTGTGTGTGTGTGTGTGTGTGTGTGTGTGTGTGTGTGTGTGTGTGTGTGTGTGTGTGTGTGTGTGTGTGTGCGTGTGCGTGTGCGTGTGCGCGTATGTGCACACACACACACACACACACACACACACACACACACACACACACACACACACACACACACACACACACACACACACATATACACACTCACACACATATACGTCTGTGTGTGTGTGTGTGTGTGTGTGTGTGTGTGTGTGTGTGTGTGTGTGTGTGTGTGTGTGTGTGTGTGCGTGTGCGTGTGCGTGTGCGCGTATGTGCGTGGGTGCGTGGGTGCGTGGGTGCGTGGGTGCGTGGGTGCGTGTGCGTGTGCGTGTGCGTGTGCGTGTGCGTGTGCGTGTGCGTGTGCGTGTGTGTGTTCGTGTGCGTGTGCGTGTGTGGCTGTAAATGTATATCTTATATATATGTATACACACACACACATGTATATTATATAAATACATATATGTATATATATACATATACATTATATACATATATATATACATTATATATATATATATATATATATATATATATATATATATATATATATATATATACATATACATATATATATATATATAATATACATATATATGTGTGTGTGTGTGTAAAATCAGTGTATATGTTCCTCAATATTTAATTGGATGATTTAAGGGCAGAGTAAATTTCATTCAAGTAAACGTAAGAATTGAATCATCTATTGAAAACACATTTTTTCAAATGGGCAGAAGTTGATAGTTATATAACACAAAGCCCTTTGTCAGGTGGCCATTTACACAAGCTGTTGGATCTACAACAGAAACCTGATAGCAGGTGTTACTGATGGAAATGAAGGTGGTATTTTGACAAATTGCCACACCATTCCATTGTTTGATGACCAACTGTTCCAATGGCAAAACACAAATATTACGAAAAATATCTTGATATTTCTTCATGAATATATATTCTCCCCTTGCCCCCTTGCAGTAAACAACAGTTATATATGGGAAATTAGATCATTACCCTCTTCAAAAACCAGTTATGATTTTATTCATCAAATTAAATGCGGCTTCCTTTGGCTTGATGGATGTAGTCTCCCACTGTAAAAAACGTCTTCTGTGCCTCTGTATGTGTGTGTGAAGGTATATCTGTTTTATTTACCTGTGAAAAGACATCTTTCATCCACACACACACACACACACACACACAAACGCACGCGCACATACACACACACACATACACACACACACACACACACACACACACACACACACACACACACACACACACACACACACACACACACACACACACACACTAAAAATCCAGTTCTCTTACTCCTACAAAAATGGGCAGACAGTCGTCAAACGCAGTCAAAGGTGATGCAAAACTTCAAGTAAATTATAAAGCAGTGTTTTTATTTCTAAACTTAATCCGAAGCAGCAGTGACGTTGACGCGTGGTAGTGCGTGACATTGACTGTTAATGATGAAGTAAGTGCCATGCGACGGAAAAGCACTTGGTCATACTGGTGGCCACGTTCGCCCTTTGCTTACATGTACGACGAAATTATCTCGCAGAAATCTTGTTCTAGAGAGAAATTAATCTCTTGATTAAACTATAAGGAACAAAAGCATGGCTTTAAGGCACCAAGGGAAGGTAGAACCAAAGAGAACCGAATTCAAGATTCATATAAAGTACCCAACAGCATATTCCAAAATCAGCATATTTATAGTGTGTGATATGCGAAAGGAGGAACCAGCACAAGAAGGAACGAGGGGACACCATTGGAAAAGCCGAAAGGATACCACTTGAAGGACCGAGAGGCACCATTACAAAGACCGAGAGGCGTCAATGGAAAGGCCTAACTGGCACCCTTAGAAGGGCCAAGGGAAAATCATTAGAAGGGCCTAAAAGGCACTACTGGAAAAGAAGAAGGTGGACCGAAGGTCTTAGTTGCAGGGCCGAGAGGACATCATGTTGGAAGGAGCAAGAAGGTACTGAGGCCATAAAATGGAAAGGTCGAAGGCAAACCAATTCTGGGTTGCGTATATAAAACAGCTGGCTGTGATTCAGTCCTAGGAGACTTAAATTTCTTGTGGGTTACAACCT